AGAGAGAGAGAGAGAGAGAGAGAGAGAGAGAGATTAAAGAAACCCAGAGAGAAAAGAGTATATGGGAGAAGAAGGTAGTCAACAGTATCAAATGCTATAAAGAGATCTAGAAAAATGTGGATGGAGATGAAACTATCAGATTTGGCTATGAAGAGACCATTAGTAACTTTGGAGAGATCAGATGAAGTTGAGTGTGGATGACTGAATAAATGCGGCAAATATTTCAGAAATGAAAGGAAAGGCAAAAAGAGTAGATAGTTTTTCTTAGGAGATGGCAAACCCCTCTGCATCCTGTGTGGCTTTGCTCCATGTCCTCCTATAAATCTTCCTTGGGTCATGTACCCAACATTGACACCAAGGCCTTTTTACAATCTCTTTACATGAGACAGGTACCAATGGAGCATATAGGGAACTCTGCCTGAGAAAAATACTGTGCCATATAGTGACAGGGATTCCCAAGGATCGAACTAAAAGGAATGAGAATACTATTTTGCCATCCCACAGCTTATAGCTTTGTATACCCAAAATTCATTAACAAATGATCCCAGGCATGTACATGTACACATATGTACACATGGACATGGCACGTTATGAGGTAGTTGTGGGGGTAAATTCCAATTTTCTAAAGTTTCACATTGAACCCCTTTCTATTTCTTGGCATTCTATTCACAGCTTGCTGAAAAATATGGCCCTATCTATACCCTTTATTTTGGAACTCGTCGTATTGTAGTGCTACATGGATATAACATTATGAAGAAAGCTCTAATTGATCAAGGAGATGCATTTGCAGACAGAGGAATTATTCCAATATTTGACGATGTAATGAAAGGACAAGGTAAGTTTAGTATATTCAAAAGAGTCATGGAGAAGCAAAAAGGTAAGGCAGAATATATCCAGTAAAAGGCCTCCCCCACCACACCTCAGAGCATAGTTACTGCTTTCATTTTTATTGTTCTATTCTCAGTACCTAGGACAAGGCCTTTATAAGGTAGCTACCTAATACTTAGCATACTGCACTGTATTTTGGTTTGAATTAAATAAAATTAAATTTGATCAATTAATTAAGCCAAAAACTTGATGTCTAACATGCAGACTGTGCCCTCCAGCAACTCCAGTGTTAGAATGACCAATGTGCTGTTCTTCTCCCTTGTCCAGGAATTGTTTTCAGTTGTGGAGAGAAGTGGAAACATATCCGAAGATTTACCTTCATGACCCTAAGGGACTTTGGGATGGGGAAGAGAAGCATTGAAGAGAGAATTCAAGAAGAAGCCCAATGCCTGGTGGAGGAGCTCAGGAAAACAAAGGGTTGGTTTTCAGTTCTTTCCTCCTGGGCATGTGGGGTCCAACTGCTCACCTATCCCCATTCTTAAATACTACTTGCTTTGGGAGTCATTCTAAGTCTCTGCCTTGGTACACTGACCAGGTAATTACTCTGCTGGGGCAGAGAACTCCTTTCTCTCTTCTCATACTCAGGTATTATAAGTTTATCTAATTTCCTCATAAAGGGTAAAGTAAAATGTCCAGGAGAACAACATTCACTAGCCTTAGAGGAATTAAACATCACATCCACGTATGGGCAGAAGAGATGTCCAGTTCCTACATGACTGGAAACATTTCAACTAAAGCTGCTTTTTCCTTCTTTGGTAATTTTTCTCTTCACTAGGTCAGCCCACTGATCCCACCTTCATCCTTGGCTGTGCCCCATGCAATGTGATCTGCTCTATCCTCTTCTGTGATCGATTCAAGTACAATGACGAGAAATTTCTAAATCTGATGACCTTGTTAAATGAAAACTTTCAGCTGCTTAGCTCACCATGGATACAGGTAAGGCCAGAGCTGTCTTCTTATTCTGTGGTTATTTGCTGAGTTTCAGCAACAGGATCAGATTACCATAGGCTCTCATGTCTTATCAAGGTCCCCAACACACATGACCATACAGCACATGTTCACATATCATGCCC